GATGACCTGCTCGACCTTCTGAACATGTAAAAAAAACAAACAAACAATGAATTTTTCATGATGGTGTGTTTTTGAGTTCAATTATTTCAGCTTTTCAGATTTTGTTTTTTAATTTTCTATTTCACAATATAAGATTTGTGGATCAGATTAGAATTTATAAATCAAACAAATGAACCAGTCATAAACCGTATTCTACATTTGTATAGCTCATTTAAAATATATATTTCTACTTTGGAATACCTTTCATATCAACATAATGGGGAAAAAAGCTATTAAAAAACAGGTAGTTTTCCCATGGAAATTTTTATGTCTGACTCAGACTACAGATGTGCCTGATTTTGTCCAATTACAGACCTCAACACAGCTAATGATACACCAGGCTATAATATTAACAAACGTGCAGCCCTTGAAGAGGCCGTAAACCTACCATGCTTCTGTCTGAGACCCATTAACACTTTACACAACATCCATTAAACACCTTCAACTAATTCTAGATCCCAGGACTGAACTTATTTTATAGATATCAAATGTTGTGTTTTTTACACTCCAAAGAAGGAACATTATTTGGAGTCTTGGAATCTTCTAAGAACAATAATTTATTGCTCAAAGCTAAAAGACCAAACTAATTATTTAAAATCCCACTTCCATAAAAAAAAGAAAAGTTCAGACACCATGTAAATCACAAAGAATTTAAAAAGTTTAAAGCCTTTAATCAAAAATAGCCAAATTAGTTTTGATTAAAAATGTTAAATTGGTACTTTTCAGTTTTTTTGATTTTTAAGAAATCTGTCCTCATTTCAATTTGGTGCCAGCAGCACATTTAAAAAATGTGGTGGGGTGGCAACAGAAAACAAAACAACTAAACTAAAACTGAGAGAACATTTACAACCAGCTAGGCAACCAGCAGCATGTCACATGCATGATTTGCTCTAAAAGGCCCTCTCAAGGAGTCTTTTATATGTAAAGGGAAGGTTTAAGAATATTGCTCAGGATCAAACTGCAAAGAGTTTAGGAATTTCAGCGTCTGCTTTTTTTGTTCCCCAAAAATCTTACTAGAATTTGTAATTTTGAAAAACCCTGTAAAACTGTAGGAAGATGATCTTTAGAAAACAAGGACGAAAGGAATGTCATTTGTTCTTTGTGAATAAGAACACTGTTCAACAAACACAGGCTGAACAAAGACACAGTTAACACAGCTGGAGTTCACAGACCAGCTCGGCTTATCCACGGCTAACTGGTGAAGTGTGACATGGAAACACAAGTAGAGATAAGGAGAAATATCAACACACATACAGAGACCCAAAGATACTGATTTCACTGTAATAATTTATATTAACAATAATTTGACATACAGTACTGTGAAAAAGTATTTGCCCACCCCCTGATTCCTTTTTGTTGTTGTTGCATTTTTCATACTTTAAACCCCAGATCATCAAACTACCACCACCATGTTTGACTGCTGGTGTGATGTACCTTTTATGAAATGTTATGTTAGTTTTACATCTGATGTATGGGATGGAAAGCTGATGGCAAATACTTCTTCACAGCGCTGAACACTCATTGTTAGCATTTTGGACTTATTTTAATGGATTCCTGCCTGAACTTTCTTGCTTGTCTCAATCAGAATCAGAATCAGAAAGGGTTTATTGCCAGATGTTGAGCAGGTTTACAACATTAGGAAATTGCTGCGGTGCTTCAGTGCAAAGGCACAACAGGCAACCAGAGTTTAACCCTCATCCTACCGACATATTTAATATGCATGGATTAGTTATATAGTTATTGTCATCTAAAAGAATTATTAATTCAAATTAATTAAAAATGAATATGCATATTTTATATAAAACAAGAATCTGTACTTTTCTTTAAAACAACTTGCATCTTTTATCCAAAATGTAATTCATGTTACTTAAAAGCTTATTTATGATCTTTTGAGTGTGGAATCACTTAGTTTTCAATCATTTTAAATAAACATTATTTCTGTTGTATTTATATGATGAAACCAATCAGGCTTCAGATAAACACACAACCAGCCAACCGAGAGAAACAATCTCTACCATGTCCTGGGTCTGCCTTCTAGAAAAGTCCGAGGTGGTGAGGATCCCTGAACTCACGCCAACGGCCTTCTTTGGATGTGGAGGCATGGCGGCTGCACTCTAAGTGCCTCCCTAATGACTGAGCTCCCATCCTGCCTCTGAGGGAGAGCCTAGACATGATTCAGAGGGAACCCATTTCTGCTTTTATTTCATTTTTCCGTCACTATCCAGAGCTCGCAACCACAGGTGATGGTTGGGACGTAGATTGAACTATAAAGACCAGTGTACCAGTAGAAGTGCACCAAGCCGTAGAAAACCGAGATGATATCCTGAGACCACTGAACCCTCCACGCCCCCCTTACCTTGGCTGTGCCTAGAAAATCTGTGCATAAATATTATGCAATGAATCAGTGATAAAGGGCAGTCCTGTCTGCGCGGCCTGACTTTCTGCAGGCGGTGCAAAGAAACAAATTACTATGATTGTGCAGGAAGCAGAAATGACTAGAGATAACTAAAGTTAATTTAGTTGCCACTCAGACTGGGGATTGTCATGCAGCGGTATGAGCTCTGCTTTTAATGTGTGGCATGACTATGTCCATGCCACTTTACTAAGAACTAATTGACTGACAAAGAAAGAAAATACATTTGATATATGACAAAAAAATTTTTACCTCTGGGGTCTGCACGGGGCCCTGACAGTACGATGAGGGTTAAAAGACATTTCCAACATGCCTATCCGATGTCATCGTGTGAAGTATGTGATGGAACTACATTGGGGGTTTTTGTATAGTTTTCTCATGTTTCACATGTGCCTGCTTGCCTGAATGTTGCAAAGTCAGTGCTTGAGTGGCACATTGTGCACTTATTGATGTGCCTGTCAGACAGAGAGCAAAAGAGTAGTAATGTTATGCAGTTCCTGTGGAAGTCCTTTAGTTTTGCTTTGAACTCATTTTTCTTGAATGAATCCAAAGCCACAGGCTTATTCTACAAATTATTTTTACTTAATAATAAGACAAGAAATCATTGCACTGGTGTTAAAGACATAAAAGGAAATATTCAATCTAAAAGACTGGATTTATACAGGGTATACAGTCACTCATTTCTGGATGCCTTTATTGCCCTTGGAGTGACCTCACCAGGAAAAAATGACACCATCACGAAATAGCTTGAACTCCGGCTAACTGTTAGGTACCCAGGTGGCAACACTTGACCCTGGATATCAAATTTCAGTGTCATGGTTCACCTTAGGTAGAAGGTTTTAAGACAGCTGGTAAGAGCTATGAGGTAAATACACCTGGAAACAACAAGTCAGCAATTTAAATGATGAAACATGCTTTTGACGCACTTAGTAGAACACGCTAATAACCACCGGATATAAAACTGTAGCTTGTTGAATATAATTAAAATAAACGCTTAATATATATTTAACTTACATCGAATTAAATACTGACAACTATTTTAATGTACACACGTTTTACAAAAATGTTAAATAAGTGAATTCTTTAAAGTTGTTAAGAAATTAGCTGCTGGAGGAAGCTGTTTTGACGCAATATAGCACGCCAATAACTGCGTAGATATATCTAAAATAAAGGTAATTCATGTTTAAATGACTGATAATTAAATACCGATACTTGTTTTTAAAGTACACATAACTCGCACAGTGCAACACGTTAACTGGTGTCAAGCACCACAAAAGTAGCACAAGTTTGCTTTTTGTGTGGTAGGTGTCTCGCAGGTCCAGGACCAGGTGTTTGTTTTTTTCCACAGCAGCTTGAAACAATGCACTGCATCGTAGGTACAGGCTACGGTAGGTCATTTATCTAACACCTCGGAATGAATAAAAAGAACACCGTCACAAACGCACTTGGCCGTTTTCTAACACGGTCGCTCTCAGAGCGGCCAGGTGAGCTCTTACCTGGCGGTTCGGTGAGTCCAGTTTATTCCGCACTGCATTCCAGAGGCGGGATGTCAACATGCGCAGGTTTCTGCTCCACTCTGAAGCCTGCTTCCTCTCAACAGGTCGTATCTGAACGTTTCAGGGTGAAATCTGAGAAGCAAGGCCCTCCTGCTGCTCCGGCATGGGCGTGGCACTCAGAAGAATGCTCCACACAGTGGGAGACACTTCTACAACCATACGTTTGAGCTATCCTATGTAACGTACAGTGAAATATTACCCCGCTTGAGCCGCATACAGTTCTGCTATATAATACCATGTGCTCTACTGTGACTGCCATATTGCAAAGTTAAACACACAGTGTGCTTAATCAACGGCGAGTACACTTTATATCCCCGTCCCT